CAGCGTGTGCAATACAAAAATATTGTCAACCGTGGAGTGACCTTTACGGAAACCTGCTTGATTAGGAGAGATTATATTGTGTTTATCTGAGTAGTCATTAAGCCTGTTGTTCAAAATATGTGTAAACAGTTTCCCGAGACAACTTATCAGTGTGATACCCCGGTAATTATCTGGGTCTTTAGGGTCACCCTTTTTCTTATAAATTGGTTTTATTATCCCAATTGTCCAGGATTCAGGGATCACTCCAGAGTTAAAAATAAGGTTAAACAGTTTACATATTACTAGACGTGCTTCATTAGGTAGATATTTGATATTTTCGTTCAAAACCTGATCCATACCCGGTGACTTACCACTTTTGAGCTCCTTGATACTTTTATTTACTTCGTCAAGCGTAATTTCCCTATTTAGATCATCATCATCATCATCTGCATCACCATCATCGCCATCGTCACCATCATCTTCATCATCGTCATCCTCATCATCTTTGTCATTTAACTCTTTGAAGAAGTTACATAGGACATATACTGAAATTTCATTATCTTTGTTTTTCGTCATAGATTTTTTTTTAAGAATTTTCCAAAATTCCCCTGGATTGTGTTTAGCCGACGCGCGTAAGTTGTGCGCACATTTCGGTATATATTCTTTAAAACTTTTGTTTAATTGTTTCCGGTATGACTTAGCACATTTGTTCATTTCATTCTTAGTTTCGTTACATTTGCTTAAGCTGTGCCTTGACCGACTCTTGTTAAATGCAGATCTAGTAGTATTACATTTCTTGTCAAACCATGGTTTATTTTTAGATGTTACTTTAGGTTTTGGCCTGTTACCAGCGCTTACATACGTTTTAACCCCCATAGTTTTCCGAGCCGTGTCTAGCATAACATTACAAAATTTTGAAACTATTTCATCAACTTCATTTTTTTCAACAAGATTTTTGTTACTCAAAGTATCAATTCGGTCATTTATTTCATTCATTGTATGTATCACATCATCAATCGACTCAGTGTATTGGTTGTTTTTACTATGTTCCCATTTTACATATTCCACTGTTTTTGACTCATCAGAATTTTTTCCTGTAACTTTTGGCTTATAACCAATACAAAATTTCAATCGACAGTGAACATCTGAGAACATTGGATTATAATCACAAATTTCAAAATCAACGATACTATAATCTATATCAACATTAAACAGTAGGTAATCACCGACACTCACTCCTTTACAGGTGACCTTACCAACACCTTTGTCTTTGTGGAGACGACCATTGCCTATGAATAACGAACATCGTTTGCACATACCAATTGCGCGACCTTTATCTTCGTTAACTCGATCGATAGACACATTACAGGACACCAGCCTCTGGCAAGCGTGGATATCCTCTACTTCAGTGGTGTCAATATTAAGGATATCAATAAGGTCCTCATCAGGTAAAACGTAATCAATTAATGTGCTGGTACGACCATTAACATCACCCACCAACAGAACATTTGAGGTGTCTATAGAAAAGCTGGCTAATTCATTTTCTATTTCAGAAAAAGACTCCTCTGATGCGTATACAGACCCATCCGGAGGTACATACACACAACCCATTAGAGTACAATTGTTATCTATATCTAGTTTAACCCACTGTACAAATTCAGAGTCCGATTGTATGAATTTGACAACTTTCATCAGGTGAGATTTAATTATTACCGCAATTCCTCCAGACCTGTGCTTAAATTTGTATCTATTTTTCAGGTGATAACTATACCCGCTAGGAACCTTTAATTCATCAAACTCATCAGTTTTAGACTCAACGCATACAAGTAGATCATGTTCAGTTATCAAGTCATGAAAATCAGGGTTCAATAGTTTCTGTTGGATACCACAAACGTTTATACAGCTAATAGATAGTTTCTCAGTCAACGTACCCGAGGACCTGGCCTATATGCGCTGTCCATGGTCGCCGCGTACGGGTCCTGGCCGGGTGCAGGTGTACCTTGCTCGTGCTGGGGTCGATAGGGTACACCGATCTCGTACAGCGTGTCGTAAACAAGTTTCACCCGTTCACCACTACGTTTGAGTTCCCTCATTTTAGGTAGAAGCGCGCTGCGGCGATTAGCAATTTCCTGCGGAAGTTGTTGAAAAACAGAAAACTAACGTTTGTCTCTCAACTTAGCCGGGACCTGCTCCATGATCGTATCGCGGTCACTAAATCGCTCAAATACGGCTATGATACCCCTCGGTCTCCGGTCTCTCCTTGGTCTGAGGCGATGAATGTTATGAAATCTGATGTCATCCGCATTGTCAACTCCAAAACATCCTTCATGACTTTTTTTAATACCACCTCGGTGTTCTCTCCTTCATTTTCCTCGATACCGTTGAAGATTAAATTGTATTTCATTGAGTGAGCCTGTAATTTCAGAAAATCTTCTTTCAAGTTAATGTTTTCCTGCTCAATAGTATGGTTTTGGTTTTCAAGCCCCAGTACCCGATTTTCAATATCGTGATGATAACACCGCTGCGAGAACTCCTGTGGAATAGATTGGAATTTTGTACCGTATCGTGAGTATGGGCCAAGTCGATGCAACATTTTACAGAACACTAGATCTACTCCAAGGCAGGAAAGCATCCGTTACAACTCATAATCAATGGAATATTTCTCCAGGTAACGGAACAGTCGCTTTAGTAGACCTATAGTACTGGGAGGAAACTAATGCTAGTAACGGTCTTGCCTAGAGGGACCGATCTTGCATAGTCACTGTATGCAAATTATAGGATTTTCTAAGCAAAGTTATTACATAACTGGGGTACACTTGTCACAAAACAGGTACACTGTGTGTCAAAACAAGACGATATGTGGATGCTGCAAATTGCTCGTCAATATATATGCTTGGCGATGCCGATAGCAGACGGCAAGTGACAGTAGCAGACGAGTATTTAGCCCGTGCTTGACCTATCTTAGAAAATCAACAGTCGACTTGAAGACGGCATATTATTGACAGAAATAAAGTTGTGTTTAGTTTTTGCTAAAGTGTTTAGAGTAGGGAATGGCGCTGTTCAATCTTAGGCTGAAATTATGCTGAAATAAATCAATTAATCAGAACGTTGCAAGTTTTAAAGCGGGGTACAGTTAAAGAAGTCCTCACAGATCTAGCAAAATGTTCAGGCGATTGGTTAAAAAAGTCGTAGATTACAATTTGAAAACTTTATTTTTATAACTTGCATTTAAAACTACAAATACATACGTTTATCAGCTAAAGTTAAATAAGTGGAGATGATCACTATTTTTATTGTGGCTCATAAATGTTTAAAACGATGATATTTATCGTTCGATTTATTTTTAACCAATCAGAGCGTCGAAAATATTAAAGTCCGTTCTGCACGATGTAAAGAAAAAAGATCGCATAGTATTGTAGTTTCGTTTTGTGTTACTATATATAGATTTTTGCTTGAACTATATATATATCACGCAAACGATACAAAAAGTTATAAATAACAATTCAAAATCCTGACATGTGTTACCAGCTGTTTCATGTTAAGTTGATATGAGGAAATATTAAGAAAGCAATATCCGAATATTATTTCTCTTCATGTAAATAAGAGCCTGCATGTCATTTCTGTTATATAATTGGTACTCTAATCCAGGCGCTAGTATTTATTTGGATACATTGATATGAATGACATTTTCGTTCCCCGATATTTTCATGACATTGCTTGGCTTACCATTGTAGAGCGTTCTTGCACACCGGAGTTACAGTTTAAACAATAGAAGCTTATAATTAACGTTTTTTGAAATTTTGGAAGGTGAAAGCGATGTGAGGTGAACTTAATACTGCTTAAATGTGCAAATCACTGGCAAATTATTGATGATTATATCCCAAAGGGCTTGATATACATGTAAACACTAGAAAATTACAGTTTTTGAAATTTTGGAAGGTGACAGGTATGTTGTTATATTGTTTAAACCAATAGAAAAGAGCCAGTTTTCTAGCACCCCAGACAGAGACATCCCAGGTCATACCCCGGGCTAGATTTTTTCTATCTCGTCCGATCTGTCCGGTACATACCTTTATTCGACATATCGCGGAATTTTTGCACAACAATGTACATGTATGTATTAGCGCGTTAACGACTTGAAATTGACAATCTGCATTAAAAATAGTCTGTTTTGTCGTCATGTTAAGTGTTTTGATGTTGTTAGATTCCTGATGTTGTAAATAAAATATAATCTACACTGTGAAATACGTTGTCTTCATTGTAAGGACGGACTACATTTTTACGCAGAGCATAAAAAGGTAACTTTAACAGTATAGAGGCCATATGCATTTGAAGCCCCAGACGGGACACTTGTAGTCTTTAACGACATTGCATTTATTTTCAAACAAAAAAAATGCGCGAAAAAAATCAATTATATCAGTCTCGGGCTAAAATTGTGTTACATCCTCATCTTGACATACGCCTCGGTTGGTATAATGTTACAGAAACTTTACCTTCGACTGAGATAAACCGATCTCGATTAATTACAGGAAAAATAATATATTTATCTTACCCGGACTACGTCACACAGTGAGTGATGACGTCACAGTCTGATATCTTATAACTCATGAGATCGTCAAAACTATTATCGAAATCGGTCTGAATGTAAATATAAGGACTGAATCCTCTATCTCGCAGTTAATCTTCAACTCACTTGATACTTCTGTAGGTCTCCATCACCCGTTGGTTTCTTAGTCGGCATTTGAAACCTCCAGAATTTGTTTGATGTAGTATTACACTGAATTACTAAATGAGCAACAGATATCGCAGAACACCCTTAAGACACAGTAATACAAAATAGCTGTGTGTCAGACAACGAATTTGCCATGTTTAGATAAAGAGCATATTGTTACGCCACATACACAAATAAAACCTCCTCCGCGGTGTGCGGTAAGTTATATATAACATGTTATGATATACATGTTTGAGTGCTGAATTACATTTATGTGCAATGTTAAACCTGTTATCTCTTTTTGTTTCAGAAAGCACAAGAACATCAGGAAAGTACAGTCCGGACAGATAACCGTACTGTTCATAGACAAGGTCATCATAACAAATAGAAACAAAGGAAAACATTAGAAGGAAATGAATCAACTCGTCATTGAGATTCTACAGTGCATTTGACGGTTATGAGAACCTCTATCTAAAAGTCAAAACATAAACACACAAAACTTTCTTACAAAGAACTGGTCAAAAACCTGACATGTGTTACCAGCTGTTTCATCTAAAGTTGAATAGAGGAAATGTTATGAAAGAAATGTCGGAATATTGTTGTTAATCATCAGATGTCGTAAATGTTTACGTTTAAATTAGATATAACTATTGATACTCAAATGTGCAGTGTTCTGAACATTACTGCGATGATGGTTAGTGAAAGTGAAAACAAATCGTCATAGAGCAGTATTATTCGTCAACCGTGGTTTACATTAAATTTTCAACCAGATGTAAAATCAATATGGTCATATAACAGAACGTTTGAGTAAGGTGAAAGGTCGACACACTTTTCAGTTCGTCAGTTGAACTCTGTGAAAAACGGGTATACTTGAAATATGCAATGTCTTATCGATTGTACTGTGTTCCTACGCACATCATGCCTTAAGGAGTTATGCTATTTAGGATTGAATGAACAGCATCTATCGGCTAGGGCTAATTACTGCTTAATGAATCGTATTGTTGCGGTTTTTTTGTGTTTCTGCTCTTGTCTGCGACAGGAAATCAAAATGAAAAAGTTACAATACAAACAACATTACACGTGGAATTATACAACTAGCCTAATTTAACTAGAAATTCTCTTAACGATCAAGCTGAGTAAATCGTTGCCCTTTCCACATCGAACCAACTGCGGATTTTGTAAGATTTAATTCAGTATGGAGAATGAGACCGTGAATCTAAGTTGCCGGCCCGAGCCTAAACCGGAACAGATCTTGGGAGATGGCGTGGTTTCGACACTTGTAATCATTTGCCTTTCAAGCCTTCCGGTATTGACAATATTAGGAAACCTCTTGGTCATCATCATCATTGTCAGACGCAGTAACTTCCGGCAGAAAGCCAATGTGTTTGTAGTGTCTTTGGCCATTGCTGACATTGCTGTAGCAATTTTCGTGATGCTGTTTTCCATACTGCAGGAAGTGAGTAACATGGCGTGGCTAAGTGATCCAAATATCTGTCTCATGGCTTGGAGTTTTGATGTGATGTTTACCACAACGTCAATTCTACATTTGATGTGTATGACAATAGACCGGTATGTGGCGATATGTTTGCCTTTTAAGTATCACGATCTGATAAGTCAAACGTGTGTGGCAACCCTACTGATGCTCTGCTGGTCACTGCCGGCCGTAATCTCATTTGGATTAATATTTGGTAAAGTTCACATGATCGGAATAGAAGAATATTATTCTTGTTCCTCTCAGTGCCAGTTCAGAGTTAATGCCTATTATGCTGTCATATGCTCTGTCATTTCATTCTACATTCCGTCAATATTCATGTTAGTGCTAAATTTTAAGATTTTCTGGAATGTTCGAGTTCGAACACGACAACTTCGCCAAATGACGGACGGTATGGCAGTGCAGTCTAAACAAAAAGAACACTTCCTCATGAGGGAGGCTAGTGTTGCCAGGACAATAGCCATTATGCTGGGGTGTTTTCTCATATGTTGGTTGCCATTTTTTGTCTTCAACGTCATCGACCCACTTATGAACTATACGATCAGTGAGGTGCTTTGGAAAATAGTGACTTGGTTCGGTTATGTAAATTCAACTATAAATCCCTATTTGTATTATTTTCGTAACAGAAAAAATCGGCCATGCATATATAAGTCTAATGTGATGATGAAACGAAGTGCAAGTTGTAAAGGTCATCAGGTGTAGTGCAACCTTTCCAAGCCGAACACCACAGGGACCAACAACAGTAATGAGGTTAGGTTTTCCGATACTTCAAACCGAGCTAGATGAAGATATATCGAAAAACAGGTTTACAAGTGACACTGAAAAAGCAAAGTGTTTTATAGTTTGTTGTTTTGCTGAATACATGTGTCATTGAATTAAATAGTAAGCTGGAGAAGACAGTAAAAAAACCCACATTACAATCAATTTATAACAATTATGTTTGATATGGACACATAAATGCTCAACATTAAAAATGTTATTCACTTTGAGAACCATGTTAGAAATAATACTTGTCGTCCTTTTTTAAATAATCATACATATTTTATTGTAGCGGTACGTTCTCAAAACATTTGTCTAAACATTTTTACTTGTAACAACAGCTAAAACACTATAATGTACAACGCAATGTCAACATTCCTTTTATACAAGTAACATGATATATTGTCAAAGGTATCTATATAATACAATTGCTCGTCAAAGTGATCTATACATTATACCACAATACATTGTCGACGTATATTACACAAAACCTTGTCAGAGTAATGTATTTAACGCAATACCTTGTCAAAGTAATCTACGCATGTATACCACAATACCTTGTCAAAGTTATCAAATTAACACAATTACTTGTCCAAGTTATCTAATTAACACAATTACTTGTCAAAGTTATCTAATTAACACAATAACTTGTCAAAGTTATCTTATTAACACAATTACTTGTCAAAGTTATCTATTTAACACGATACTTTGTCATAGATATCCATATAACATGATACATGTACATTATCAACCTGATGGTTGGACATTCCCAATATCACCCCAAGAGGGTAAATGTTCATATATAATTATTTGATAATTAATTGTCAAAAATATCTAATTAACACAATTACTTGTCGACGTTATCTAATTAACACAATTACTTGTCAAAGTTATCTAATAAACCCAATTACTTGTAAAAGTTATCTAATTAACAAAACTACTTGTCAAAGTTATAAATATTACACAATTACTTGTCAAAGTTATATATATTACACAATTACTTGTTAAAATTATCTAATTAACACAATTACTTGTCAAAGTTATCTAATTAACACAACTACTTGTCAAAGTTATCTAATTAAAACAATTACTTGTCAAAGTTATCTAGTTAACACAATTACTTATCAAAGTTATATATATTACACAATTACTTGTCAAAGTTATATATATTACACAACTACTTGTCAAAGTTATCTAATTAACACAATTACTTGTCAAAGTTATATATATTACACAACTACTTGTTAAAATTATCTAATTAACACAATTACTTGTCAACGTAATCTAATTAACACGATTACTTGTCAAAGTTATCTAATTAACCCAATTACTTGTCAAAGTTATCTAATTAACACAACTACTTGTCAAAGTTATCTTATTAACCAAATTACTTGTCAAAGTTATCTATTTAACACGATACTTTGTCATAGATATCCATATAACATGATACATGTACATTATCAACCTGATGGTTGGACATGCCCAATATCACCCCAAGAGGGTAAATGTTCCTATATAATTATTTAATAATTAATTGTCAAAATTATCTAATTAACACAACTACTTGTCAAAGTTATCTAATTAACACAATTACTTGTCAAAGTTATCTAGTTAACACAATTACTTATCAAAGTTATATATATTACACAATTACTTGTCAAAGTTATATATATTACACAACTACTTGTCAAAGTTATCTAATTAACACAATTACTTGTCAAAGTTATATATATTACACAACTACTTGTTAAAATTATCTAATTAACACAATTACTTGTCAACGTAATCTAATTAACACGATTACTTGTCAAAGTTATCTAATTAACCCAATTACTTGTCAAAGTTATCTAATTAACACAACTACTTGTCAAAGTTATCTAATTAACCAAATTACTTGTCAAAGTTATCTAATTAACCCAATTACTTGTCAAATTTATCTAATTAACACAACTACTTGTCAAAGTTATCTAATTGACACAATTACTTGTCAAAGTTATCTAATTAACACAATTACTGGTCAAAGTTATATAGATTGCACAATTACTTGTCAAAGTTATATATATTACACAATTACTTGTTAAAATTATCTAATTAACCCAATTACTTGTCAAAGTTTTCTAATTAACACAATTACTTGTCAACGTTATATCTAATTAACACAATTACTTGTCAAAGTTATCTAATTAACACAACTACTTGTCAAAGTTATCTAATTAACACAACTAATGTCAAAGTTATCTAATTAACACAACTACTTGTCAAAGTTATCTAATTAACACAATTACTTGTCAAAGTTATATATATTACACAATTACTTGTTAAAATAATCTAATTAACACAATTACTTGTCAATGTTATATATATTACACAATTACTTGTTAAAATCATATAATTAACACAATTACTTGTCAAAGTTAAATCTAATTAACCCAATTACTTGTCAAAGTTTTCTAATTAACACAATTACTTGTCAAAGTTATATATATTACACAATTACTTGTTAAAATCATCTAATTAACACAATTACTTGTCAAAGTTATCTAACTAACACAATTACTTGTCAAAGTTATCTAATAAACACAATTACTTGCCAAAGTTATCTAATTAACACAATTACTTGTCAAAGTCATATATATTACACAATTACTTGTCAAAGTTATATATATTACACAATTACTTGTTAAAATTATCTAATTAACACAATTACTTGTCAACGTTATCTAATTAACACAATTACTCGTCAAAGTGATCTAATTAACCCAATCACTTGTCAAAGTTATCTAATTAACACAACTACCTGCCAAAGTTATCTAATTAACACAACTACTTGTCAAAGTTATCTAATTAACCCAATTACTTGTCAAAGTTATCTCTTGTAAAAGTTATCTAATTAACCCAATTACTTGTCAAATTTATCTAATTAACACAATTACTTGTCAAAGTTATCTATTTAACACGATACTTTTTGTCATAGATATCCATATAACATGATGCATGTACATTATCAACCTGAGGGTTGGACATTCCCAATATCACCCCAAGAGGGTAAATGTTCATATATAGGGATTGAACGATTGTTTTTAAATTTTCATGCCGGTATGAACGCGAATAGGTTATACCCTTATTAAACATGACTTCTAAGCATGCATTTACATTTTTACTAAAGAACACTTGTTAAATTTTATCCATTTGTTCTTAAATAATTAATTCATTTACTACGTTTTGTATATACGTCGTCCTTTAAACGACTTTGGCGGAACAGTCCTATTTAAACAAAATTGGCGCCAATAATCAAAAGTAGTCATTTGAGTGATTGATGCAGGGGTATTTCCATAGTATACGAAGCGAAGCGACACGACTCTCATTGAACAAGGTTTATCTATGACGTCAGCAGTAAACCATGTTTTACGTCACGTGAATTTTTGCTTTCATACTTGTCACCCTGGTAGAATACTAGCCGCTTCCCACTGACTCAGCTAGGGAAAATTTCTCGTTAGCTCATTTGGTAGAGCGTAAGACTAGTAAACCAGCGGTCCCGGGTTCGACGCCTAACATAGAAACAAATAATGACCTTTGGTACATACTTCAATGAAATACATTTCTGTTGGTAATGTTCATATAGTGGGTTACAGCGCAAGTGTAAATATTATTCGTTATCTCTGGGTTAGGAGGGGTCTACGGTCTCATAGACCCCGTCTGGTTTTTATAGCCCCCGAGCCGAAGCCGAGGGGTCTATAAAACGAAAGGGGTCTATGAGCCAGTAGACCCCTCCTAACCCAGAGATAACGAATGTGTTACCCTGACAATCTTTAATACTTTTTTTTCTCCAATGTTATAAGTCACTTTGTGAGTTTGAGTTGTAAGCTTATTTGACTGCTATCAATCAAAGCCTCTACCGGAAAAACCTTTGCGGCAATATTTCGGACATTATACAACCATCTTTGTACTTAGCATCATAGCGGTCCCTCATTACCTATTTCGTTGAATTTGCTGTCAATTAAGTAGGCTATTTCATCGTGTGAATGATTTGCACACCTCGAACGCTTGTGTGTGTGTCGGATGCCATCTTTGTTGTTATGAAGAGAGATTCTAGTTTGAGTTATCTCCCCTGGCACGTGCTTTTATAGACCCCAGCAGAGCGGGGTCGATAGAAATATAGACCCCGGCAAGATATCTAATCAGAAAGAGTGTTACAAATTAGAAGTGTGACAAAATGTAATGTTGATGCTGCAGTCTCGATGCTTTTTTGACGTGACGTCCATGCATTGTTGGTGTGATGCCATACAATTGCTACGACTGGGGAATTCCTCCACCGCAACTCTATGGTGACACTAATATAATTCCAAATTATTTTTCATTAGTATAAGTATTTGAGGTTTGAAATGAAACAACTTTATTCGACAGTTGATCATACTCACAACAGTGAAACGTTCTGTCGTATTACCCAAATCGAATCGAATCAGTACAAATAAATCGAATTACAAAATTACTTACACACTTCACATGAACGGCCTTCGCTTCGCTACGACCGCTCATGTGGTGTGTGAGTACATTTTCTCCCATTCATACTTGCATGAACACTGGAAAAATCCAGATTCAATCCCTATATAATCTTTCCACATTTGAGGGGTAAGGCAGAACAAATCTCAATTCCCGGGATAACATTCCTAAATGTCTGGCCCTCGGCTTCGGGTTAAAAAAAAATCTCAACCATCATGGTAAGATTATCAGATATAGAGCCCGATGCTTCGCCAGATATTTGTAACGGAGCAATCTAAACCCAAGGTAAGATTCCTAGATGTCTCGCCCAAGAATGTTTCCCCGATGGTTGAGATGTTCTTCCTTATTCCTAATGTGGGGAATTAACATTTTCTCCCATATGAAATACAAATGGTAAATTCAAGAAATGCAAACATTTATTTCATTATTTCCATCTTCAGCTTTGCCGAGTGTTTGTCCACTTAAGAATCTTTACCCGAGGGATGAGAGTCCCCATCCATAAGGGGATGAGTGATTCTTTTTCTCTTACCCTGTTCTCCCATTGTGTATCATATTCACATTGTAATAATTACGTTACATGCTAAATTCAGGGTTGACGCGAAGTTGGTGGATTGTTGAAGTGACGTCATACTATTGTCTTGAACAGAGTGAGACTTATAGATTATCATACTGTATTTTCAGTGTTTGTCGTGAGAACAATTTTCTCATCGCGAGCACGTGGATAAAAT